GAACATTGTCTCATCATCAGGATGCAGAGAAGCAATCCCTAGTGATCCATTGAGATGAATGGTGATTCTTTCATCTAGGGTTGAATTGTGAGGAAAAACCCTTCGGTGTCCATTCTCGATACTTGCCAAATCTTTCCATTCTCCAGCTGTTTTGTCCTTAAACTGCCACACTAGCTTGCCTATTTTATTGAGTGTGTAATATGGGCAAGTCAGGATGACATCCGTCTTGTAACAGCCATCTTGATAATGATTTTTTGCACCAGTGTAAACTGCAATATGAAAAAAAACATTCGCAAATGAAAAACTGGGAAACATTCCCTTCCATAAGTTGAGATGGTACTACATGGCATTTGTCTTCTTTTTCCCCGTAAAATAGAGAACTTTGGATTTGTCCGCATATTCGATGCGTCTTGAAACTGATTTAACAGTGTTCCCGCGATAACCCGTCATGTCTCGGAATTCCTTCGTACAGCTTATCAAGGGATCCTCTAATGTTCTTCTTTATCCAGAATTGATAGAGGTTATTTACCGTCCAGGATGTGCCCGATGCGTTGAGTGCATATATCAGTAGCCAAATGATAATGACAGACACCAATAATACATAGACCTCTTCTGAGATAGTGAACATGGTGTATTGTGGTCTGGCTTGAGTTCAAGCATCTTGTTCATCATGCCTTATATGGTGTTGTTTGTACTCAAGCTATACCACAATGCATCAGGTTTAACGACCTCAGACATGGCCTACAGTTTGTACCATGGTCAGGGCTAGCAGCAGAGGAAACCGAAGGAGTGATTGTCTCCATGGTGACAGTAATGGGTGTTGTCATAGCAACACGACCAGTGGTTGTCTTTACAGAACCTAAGAAAAATAGAGGGGATTGTTAGTTGTCGTTTTTCAAACATTTTCAAGTCTGTTTCACCAAACTCCTGTCACCGAATAAATATCAGAAAGGATTCCTCAGTTGCAGCCTTACCTGCGGTAATTTCACGCTTTTCTCTTCGACATTCAACACTTTTCACGACAATAAGGTGCCTGTCCAATCGACTTGGAACATTCTTAGTGACGTCACACTTGTAAGTGACAACTTCCTCGGCCCTTCCTCCGCGCAGCTGTAAAGACCCGTTGCCATGGAGCTTGAATCCATCACCAACAGTTACATTATAACCACTGGAAGCCACGAGTAACGACCAGGACACATCGTTTCCTGAGGTGTTCTTCTTGTGCCATTTGACTTGGTGCAGCTTTCTCGGGTTTGTTCTGT